GTTATATTTTGATTTGCTACATTTCCTAACATCTGGCTAGAGCCATTGTTTATTGTTATATTTTGATTTGCTACATTTCCTAACATCTGGCTAGAGCCATTGTTTATTGTTATATTTTGATTTGCTACATTTCTGTGGACGGCCATGATTACTTGCTTACATTTTGATTTATCAAGCCTTCCCAAGTTCTGACTACATTTATCTATAGTTTTTTTCAAATTTCAATTAGCTGTCACAACAAGTATTGACTAATATATTACTACAGCTTGAACTAGCAACATGCTTCCTTAACTTTGTGTATAATATCATTCTGGCTAGATCTACTACATAGGTTTCCTTAACTTTGTCTAATATAATTTTGGCTAGATGTAGTACACAGGCTTCCTTAACTTTGTGTATAATATTCTGGCTAGATCTAGCAACAGGCTTATCTAACTTTGTGTCTAATATAATTCTGGCTAGATCTAGCAAACGTGCTTCTCTAACTTTGTGTCTAATATAATTCTGGCTAGATCTACTACACAGACTTGTCTAATATAATTCTGGCAAGATCTAGTACACAGGCTTCTTTAACTTTGTGTCTAATATAATTCTGGCTAGATATACTACACATGCTTCCATAACTTTGTGTCTAATATAATTTTGGCTAGATATACTATACATGCTTCCTTAACTTTGTGTCTAATATAATTCTGGCTAGATATACTATACATGCTTCCTTAACTTTGTGTCTAATATAATTCTGGCTAGATGTACTATACATGCTTCCTTAACTTTGTGTCTAATATAATTCTGGCTAGATATACCACACATGCTTCCTTAACTTTGTGTCTAATATAATTCTGGCTAGATCTACTATACATGCTTCCATAACTTTGTGTCTAATATAATTCTGGCTAGACATACTACACAGGCCTCTCTAACTTTGTGTCTAATATAATTCTGGCTAGATATACTATACATGCTTCCTTAACTTTGTGTCTAATATAATTCTGGCTAGATATACTACACATGCTTCCTTAACTTTATGTCTAATATAATTCTGGCTAGATCTACTACACAGGCCTCTCTAACTTTGTGTCTAATATAATTCTGGCTAGATATACTACACATGCTTATTAATTTATTAATAATATAAATTAATATTAATTTCTAATTAAATAATAAGCTGCTGATGATGATAATTGGCCGAATATTAATTTCTAATTAAATAATAGGCTGATGATGATGATAATTGGCCGAATATTAATTACCAGACCATTATGTGACAAAAGTATTTGTGTCCGCTTATAACTGGAGAGCCGCTGGAGAGATTGTCACCAAACTTAGTATATAACCTTAAGACCATCATAAGAGTACATAGGGAGTAGCATTCAACCCTATGCTCCACTCCTTCTCCTCGTGTTGAACGAGTGCTTCAGCTAATAACTTTTGAAATGAAATGTAAGGGTATTTCGGGGGTACCGGGGACACTTTCGGCGTTGTTCTTCCTGGGACAATTTTCTTCACCTGGGAACTTTGTTTGTTTGTAGTTTAAGCACAAACCTACACAATGGGCTATCTGTGATCTGCCTACAACGGTTATCGAATTCCTATTCCTAGCGTTGTAAGTCCGCAGCCATACCGCTGTGCCACTTGGGAGCTCACGTAGTAAGAGTGCACAAGTCGCTTTTTATCCATGTAGACTCACATTATTTTAAACTTTTTACACCCTTCTGGTCTTTATTAGCATAATAGCACCCAAACTATTAACCTAAAAGTTGTTTTCATAATATAATTTGTTATAATACCTTTTAACAAAATAATAAACCGAAATGTGAGCTTACTCATCAAAGTATTCATTACTCTGGTGTGAGTTAGTGTTGATTACAAACTTAAAATGACCTAATTCTTCCACTCCGTTATGGTCACCGCCGACTTTAATTTGAGTAACTTTCCATCAAGGAGATCAATTCTGTTGAAATACGTACCAATTGTGAGCGCACCGTTGAGTCAAACGATAGGATGTCAAGAGAAGTTATCTTATTCTTGTTTGTACTGTAAATCCGAGGATTTCATAGTTCGCGATCCACTGCCGCAAAAACGGATTCCACACTTTGGGGCTATGTGTGCGCTATAAAAGTGGTGGTCAACTCGTAGTATTTGACCAGAAAAGAGTAGCCAACAAGTTGGTGGTGGGTGATATAGATTAGATGCCTTCTCTCTCTCTCTCTAGTCTGTCAGTTCAAAATTATGTACAGTTATGCATATGTGTAATTTTACGCGAAATTCTGAAACAGTTATTTGAGGTTCCTGATATTTTCCAAAATGTGATTTGTTTTTCTGTGAGAGAACAAGAAGATTAAGACTGAGGTTAATGGTAACTTTTGGAAGCGAGCTGACTAACAAAGAGCAACATTTTCAGGTTGACGTGAATAACAAGCCAACAAGAACATTAAGACTGAGGTTAATAGTAACTTTTGGAAGCGAGCAGACTAACAAACAGCAACATTTTCAGGTTAACGTGAATAACAAGCCAAAATAGAGAAATTATAATCACTTTGCAATAAGCTATTGCACAATATATGATTTGATAATTAGGTATGTTTAGAAGAAAATGAAACTTTTGTTTGTGCGGTATTCGTGATGGCTTATAACACGAAAATTCGGGGTTCGATCCGTATGGTGGCGACAGCTTAATTTTAATACGATACTTTATGGTATAAAAATCGTATAAAATGGCGGTATTTCAGCTATTGTTTTTAATTTTTGGTGTCAAATT